AAGAAAATCGTCAAAGATATACATAGTAGGCAGGGAAGGAAGCACCATAAGCTACAAGCTCCCCATCAACCGCCTCGGTTCGAGGGTTTTTCCTTCCAGTCAGGTCGACTCCTTTCATAAAACAAGGTCAAAATGACCGGCTCAATGAGCCGCCTTAGAGCGGTGCTTCTCCTGTCTACTCATAGAAACTCGAACCAATCCGTTTTCTTCCACTTTGAAGCATGTGACCGGTACCAGTGCTGCTGCAACGGCCATCAACGGCAACAAGTGGCGTCATCGGATTCAGACTTCTGCTTTAGGTGATTCGGGAGCAAATGCGTCTCTATCTTTGGATTCTGAGTCGGATACTGACTTCATATTCTGCAGATTCCCCGGTGTTTGCGNTATGCGTCTGTCGATGTGTCTTCATATTCGGCTTTGGCTGAGACTGATCTTTCTCTAGCTTCTTCTGATTCGGCATCTTCAAGAGTTTCAGTTGAACAAGCGCACTCACTAAAGGAAGCCTTCCGACCCGTAAGAGGCCTATTCTCATGGTTCGGATTGGGAAAGAGCGGGCACCGATCCTCTCTCTCTTTTAACCCTCCCTCGAAAGAGCTATTGCCGGAATAGCAAGACAAAGACTCTCTTTTTCATATCTTGTGAAAACCAGACTCTGGTCTTCGGCCTCCAAACTATCTTTATTTAGCTAAGGACAAGCCAAGCTAGAAGTTAGAATAGAATTGAATAAAGTAATGAATGGTCGAGATCGATATCGCCGGGCTAGTGTGGCTCGAGGAGAAGATAGGCAGCTCGACTCCTCGAGGAAAGGGCTAATAAAGGCTTGACTGAAAGGGAAAGGGTAGGGGTTGGAAAGAAAATGGGATTCTGGTTCAAGCGCTAGAAAGAGGAAAGAANCATCTTATAACGCGGCGGGTCGCCTTTTGAATGAAATAGAAGAAACTCTTATCGAGATAAAAACAAGAGAGTTGGAGTAGGTGAGTTAGTCCTCACTGACCTGAGCAATTTTGATCACCTAGCGGCCTTTGATTTGGTAGGTAACATCGCCAAAGCGTATCATCAAATTTGACTACGAAGGAAGACACTCGAAGTGAGAGGGCACCGTATTGTGCAACGAGAATTGGCCCTCTATCATTGGGCGAGGAAAGAGAC